TAATATTAATATTGATATTCATATTAATATTAATATTAAGATTAATATCATATCAATATTAATAACTAATATATCTCAATACAAATATGAAAATTAATACTAATATTCATATTCATATGAATATCAATATTACTATTAAATTAATATAGTAGTATCATTGTCATTATTTTTGTTTTTTGTATATACACACACACACACACTCTGGGCGGCCGCCCCGGGGTGGGTGGCAACGGCGGTCCGATTCGCTAAGCAGGAGCATAGACATATGTATAGAGAGAGGAGAGGGAGTTTGATATTTATGTTCACATCTACATGTGCAGCAGCACCCGGAGGGCTGGCTTTGCCCCCCCCCCCCCCCCCCTCCGGCCTGATGGGCACGGCGCAATCTCATTCCCCGGCCGCTCGTTATACGAGATGTCATTGAAAACCCGGCCGAAGGCAGACAGGATCACTGGGCCCTCTGATTGCTCATAGGGCTCCGAATCGCAGTAATCACCCAAGGAATCGACGATGAAGGCAGCATTAGCATCCGGGCCATTCCGCACTTCGTTCCAAGTGTCTTTCATGGTCTCGGGTACAATGACGAAACGTTGGTTGTTGCTGACCATCTGCCCGAAGGTTTGCAAGATATTGGTTGTGGAACCTCAGCTCGACAGGACTGAACAATTGCTCAATGTCGGGGCTTTGAATGCTTGCTCACTTGGTCTTCCGCAACCGAACTCCGGCAACAACGTGAAACGAAACGGCGAGCACGCCGTACTTGCTCCGAACTGTGACAACAGAACCACCATGAACCACCAACACTGGGGTTGCCTTGGCCTTTATATTATAAGCTTCTGTCCCTTATAAGCGGGTCTAGGCAGTTCAGTTTTTCGACCAGTGGCACACCCTGAACATGGAGCACCTCGCGAAGGTTCGATCGATGATTTCTTGTCTCTTGCGATTGTGTATATCGCGGCCATCTTCGCCCACAGGATAGTCTCGACCTGGGACGCCGTTGTCCTGAGGCAGCGAACCTTAAAACAATTTAAAACATGTGCGCAACAGAATCTTGAGTCGTTGTTATAAGGAAGACTGTGGAGGAAGGGGGAATAGGTTCGGTCCGCATTGCTCCAACGGAACACGACGACCTCGTTGGGGTTCTGCTGGAGCCAGAGCCAGATTCTCTGTACATCTGCCTCGGTCGAGCCACCAAGAGCCTTCTTCAAGTCCTGAGTGCCGTGGCAGTTCACAATCAGGTTTCTTCGCAGGCAGGTGTCGAAGTCAAAGAACCTGGCTCCTCGTTCAAGCTGGTACACGATGCCACCGTCCTGGTTCTCGAAGAGGCATCTCGTAATCGACTGGACGAAAGTTGACACCCTCGGAAGCACCGCGCAAACGGTCTCCAAGGGCACGCGGCATCCCACCCATTGGATGATTCGCACCCGCGAAGCACAGTATTCGGCGAAGACGATACAAGTCAGCTCCTTACAGGCCACGATGCTAGGTTCCTACCGAGGCTGTCTCGAGACCTTCAGGCGCGCAGGCTACTTCACTCTCTATTCTACAGATTCTACATTCTACATCTGCAGCTCTTCTACTTCCAGCGCCCACACGGCCAAGGCTCAACCACTGTTGAGAAGGTCACACACACCAAAGCACTGGTGAGACAAATCGCCTCGCAAAGGAAACTGAAGACACCGCAGTTGTCGCTCCATTGCGTGCACTCATAGCCCCACTCGATGCACTCGCGCCGTGTACTGTATGTCCACCGAGTGCACCTTAATTTGTGTTGTGGGCTTCTGTCTTCAGCACTGCTTTACACCTTCCACCTGCCGATGCCTTGGCTTCCCAAGCTTGCCAAGCCCCTGACCTTCTGCCAATGTCCCGGCAGGTGTCCACAGTCCTAGAAGCCCAATCATTGCACTCCTGGGTGAGTTCACCACAATCGTAAATCAGGTTGGGATAGGCAACCGAATTGTGTGAACCCAGCAAGGGAACTTGCCCAATGCCGCGTGTGCAGGTGTCAGCTCTGTCGTACACGCAGACCCGACCTGTGCAGTTTCGGGGACTATGCCATCTACGGTCTCGCTTTTAATGTCAAATAATGTCAAAACGTCAAAAGCACGCAGCGGCACTTCGCCACACTTAGCGCGCCTGAGCTCGGCGATTGCTGCAGCAAACTGCCCTGGCCGCCTCGCCCGCGAAGGTCGTTGCTGTTATCGCTGCCGTCGTCGCGAGCCATTCGAGCTGCCAAGAAGGAAATTTGAGTGTAGTTATCCTGGAAACCTCCTGTGGCATCTACATACTCCGGCGGGTTCAGAGCGAACTCTGCTGCGAAGGCCGGAACGTTTTCGATGCATGACTCTAGGAAGCCTTCCTCGCGGTCCAGCTGAAGCATGAACAAGTCAAGATTTGCCACTTCCACGTCGACGGTCGTGTTCTCGAGAAAGGGCTCTTCCGAAGAGTCGTTCAAGCTCCTTGCAATGACCTCACTGTGGAGCATGGTGAGCCCTAGGAGAAGGCACACTATGAAAGGGGGAGAATGGGGAGTCGCTCAATGTCGTGCAATGTCAGCCAAGGCCACCTGGGCATTGTGGATCTCGTCGTAGGCTGGCTTGAGCTTCTCCAGCGCCATCTGGCGAGTGGCTTGAGTGGCTTTGATGCCCTCTCCCAAGCTCCTCTGGCAGTCTTGCAGTGACCGCTGTGCAGAGAGCCGTACCTCCTGAATGTAGGGCCGCAGTGAAGCTCGCCTGATGTCCGTCTCGTTCAAGCGCAGAGGGATGGTGACCTTCGGGAGAAGTGTGGATAACTTGCGGAGCTTCGCCTTGCACATCTTGCGGAACCGAATGCCAATGGCAGTCCAACGGCGACGAGTGGCGCAGAACTTCAGCCTTGCAATGCGGTGTGCAGAGGGTAAGCCTTCGTTCAACACCACCACTAATTCCTGCAATCCGGGGTACTCCTCTTCAGTCAGCATGCCATCGTTGTTGCCCAGCGCGTCAGCCTTGTGCAGGTGTACTTGAAGCAGCTTCCAGTACGTCTCGTCCGCGGCGGAAAGGAGTTGCAAAGAGGACACCTTTGCGATCTCCTTGTGGCGCCAGGCCAAGAAGCGACCGAACTGTGAACTGGGGTTCGCCTTCTGCCACTCCCTCTCCTTTGCAGAGGGGACTAGCCCAGGGCCTGCAGAACGAAAACGTTGTGCCAGCTTCCGGTTGACATGCAAGAAAGCGTCGTCTTCGCTGTCCTCGCCTGGATTGGCACAATGCGAGACATGTCACAAGCAAATCGAACACACAACACCTCTTGGTGATTTTCGCTTGAGCATGGGAGAGATCTCAGTTCGGCCTGCTTGGCAAACCTCGTGATGGTCTTCGCACCTCTCACCACGCAACAAGGAACAGCCCAGGAAGCATGGGATCCACCACACAGCTTTCATGACAACTGCGCAGCGTTGCGGAATGACAACTCTTGAGCCAATGCTTCGCCTGGCAAAATGTCGTTGTCCGGCTGACATGCAAGTTGAAGGTTGGATGATAGATCGAGTGCAGATTGTTGCTGTGCAGGTCATGCAGCATTTGCACACAAAATAGCCAGCGAAGCCTGCAGAACGTTTCTTTTCGGGTGTCTTTGCTGATTTCGTGCGCACTCATGATGCAAACATTTCGACAGCTGTACCTCGCATCAGCGACGGAAGGATGCCCACGAAATCCTCGGCTTGCGTCAGCACGTATCCCCTAGCACGGATTTATAAGGCTGTCCCTGAGGACCACTGCAGATGCCGCAGCGTTCCTCAGCCTGATATAGCCTCATATGGCGAGGAGCAGGAAGCCCTCAAGCCCCAATGGTACAACCTGGTACACGTGAAAATTTCATTCGGGCTTCTGAACACTTTCTGAATACTTAGCGGCGAATTATGCTGCATACGCACCATGTGCGCTGAAGGGCCGAAGGGGAGGGGCTGCAAACGCACTGAAGCCAAGCCACGAAGATGTGCGCGGATCTGGTGCCTCCGGCCTGAGGCACGGGGGCAAGCAATTGCCACGACCACACAGTAACCGGGTGAGTTTGCAAGGCCGCAGCTGAGGGAATCCCGAGTGTGACAGAGCGTCTGACATGTTGGGTGACATGTCAAATGTGGCAAACCCAATGTCCCCACGATGATCACTTGCTGGTGGATTTAAGAGCTCTAAAAAGCACATGTGCCTACAACGTGACCCCCTGTACAATGAACAAACCCATTTTATGGGCTGGCCATTTTCTTGGCCCGTTCTGAAAGCATGCGGAAATCATCTTGGGCTGTAGCCTGTCGCAATGCGAATGCTGGCGGCGAAAATCGAATCTCCGAGCTGCGCTAAGGTGCGTAGACGAGTGAGTGCTGGCCTGGCAGGGAACCCACTATAGCCGACTTAGCCTGAACTAGCATTGTCGCAATGTACTATAACGATAATTCCTCAAATCGCACAAGATTGTGATCAGCTTCCACGCTGCCGTAACAACCAAACACGAAACTCTCGCGAAACACATCCCTGTGAACCATGCTTCCGCAGATGTGCGTGGGGCTTTTCATACGGAGCTGCTCAGCAGCTGCATTAGTGACCTGAAAGCTTGCAGTTTACAGCAATCTGCCGAGGCCTTGCAGACGGGTTTCATGCAACTCAATCCCCTTCCCTTCCTTCCATCCAAGAGTTCCGTAACGTTCCAGCGCCTTTTCCAACATCCTTTCCTTTCCGGAATCACTTTTGGTGGCCATCCCAGCATCTTCAAGGCCTACTATTGGGCCTACAGGCACGAAGTGACCGAAGTGAAGTCCACAACATCCAAGAAACGGCAATCCGCAAAACTGAACAGCCAGCATGACTCCACACAGTTGCACGAAGAAGTCCCTTTGCGAGTTTTGGTTTTGAGATGGAGAAAAGGCATACTTAGCCAATGAACCCTGAAGGTCTTCTCCAGCAAACGCTGCTACCGGGCCATCCGCTGCCTCCCGCTGTCGCTGATACTCCGCCTCTGAGAAGGCTCAGGTGCCACATCAATTCGTGCCTCTGCGGCTCGAGGCTTACGTACAGCATGGCGCAAACAAACACAACACAGCACAGCACAGCACAGCACGACACAACACGACACAACACAACCAACACACACACACACACACACACACACACACACACACACACACACACACACACCCCCGCGCACGCACACACACACACACACACACACACACACACACGTGGCCTCAATCTGGGATAAGTCGCCGGGAAGGTTGTGGCCGAGGACATAGTACTCTCCTGAGCGGAGTGTGGTACCAACCTGCCTCAATCGGACGTTGCAAGTTGCAAACTTAACTTCTAGTTCCATGCGGTGCAACCTGCCACTACACCAATCTACATGCAACGATGGCGGGCTATGTGGTGAGGCTTGATTCACATTCACAGCGGCTCTGAACAAGGTAAAAAGGATTCTGTTTTTGGTCCTCTGGCTTGCTGCATGGCTACTTTCATTGGCAGAAAACCGATTTCCCGACCCTGTCGAAGCATGGGCGCTAAATCTGAATAACCAATGGTAACCAATGTAACCCTATGATCAGGAATCCAACTCCAAATTTTTTGGGCCAGGGACAAGATGGTGGCAAGCTGCAGATCCCAAACGTTGGGGCACACTGTGTCTGCTACACCTTCGCACCTTGTCAACCACATGAACCTCTCATTGTTATCGCGATTCATCATGTCGTCGTGATCGTCATCAACATCATCATCCCTAGTATTCCTCATGATCATCATCATGATGATGTAAATTATCGTCATCATTATCATCATCATCTGTATGTAGGCAGCACGTGACCTGAAACAGGTTCAGCATTGAGCAAGCAGCCAAGGCACCGCTGCGTTTCATGTTTTTGTCTTGGATACTAAACTGTTTCTGGTGGAATTGGGCACTCGTTCTGTCAGCTTTGGATCCCTCAACCTCATGAGGTGCCCAGATGAAAAGATATTCTACACCCAAAGTGTTCTCACTGCTCCCAGCGTCTCTGGAGGGTGTGCGTGTCCAGCTGCAGCCGCAAGCAGTAGTAGCCTGCTTTGACCAGTGGACTCCGTGCTTAAGATTTGCTGCTATGCTTTGCTTCGCTATCTACTATCTGGCCCGCCTGCATATGTGGTGCCGCAGAGAACGAGCCCAGAGCTCGGAACATCCAAACGATGCAGGAAGCCGTAGCCGCGCAAAGCGTCATGAACCTCACTGGGACGATGTTCTGTGCGCTTCAGGGCTCCCTTTCCAGAAAGAAATCAGGCTACTCTTCAAAGCGAGTCCCACGCTAAACAATGAAAAGTCTTCGGAAGCCTTCGGAAGGCAAGTTTCTGCTCTGTACAGACCTCGAAACATGGTCCGACCTTCTCCACTCCGACCCTGTGATATCCTTGAATGCCTGGCAAGGTGCAATAGGATGTTCAGCCATCCCAAACTGGCTGCGTACAAAGGACCTGAACTTGACTTGAATCTGCAATTGCCACCGCTGCGTGGGAACATTCTTGAGAGTACTCTTGCACATGACATATGGACTGGCTTGGAATGGCATAATGGCTATTCAGGATTCTTGCGGAAGCTTCGTGGTTCTTGCATTCTGCCCGGCGTTGTCGAGGGAGCTCCGTAATCGCTTGGGAGGAGTTACCAACTGTGAAATTTGAGTTTCAGCTGGGATGCAGGACCCAGGAACTTGCCGAGGGGCGAGAGAGGCAGGTGTTCATCCCGCTCCGAAGTGAGACCGTCCACCTTGGACACGTGACGTGGGTTTCCGATGGCTTTGGGGAAGGGTGATGGGCCTCGGGATTTCAAATATGTTGCGATGTGTTGGGCAATGAGAGAAGATCGCCATTCACTCCCTCAACACTGTACGTACAGCAGGGAATCTACAAAATGAAAGTCATTATGGAGCGCCCCCTCCCCCTCGCTAAAATCGTGGCTAGTTGTCTCCCTTCTGTCTCCCTTAATGTTGCACTGACTTTAGTATAAGGAGGGTCTATAATTAATCACAAGTTTCGAAAACTTATTCTGCGAACCGAGTTTGTTCAGGGTACCCGCTACTATCACAAGTTTTATCCGGACGTTTTTTTTGTTGGTTTGTGGTTTGGGTTAAGGGCTTAAGCAGTAAGGCTTGAGGCCCCGAGGGTCTTGGGCTCCAGGAATCTTAAAGAGCCAGAGTGCGGAGAATCAAGAAATCTAAGCCCGGCCAGTTCCATGTAAAGCCTTATGGAAATTCATTACGAAACGAGGCCCCAAACAAATTTTGTGATGGGTAGCCCACGGGCCGGTCAGGCTGTCTTTAGTAAATTTGTCTGGCTATCCTCTATAAAACCAAGTTTTTTCCGGATGATTGTTTTAAGGGTTTGTGTTTAGGGTTGAGGGCTCGCAGTAAGGCTTGAGGCCCTGAGGGCCTTGGGCTCCAGGAATCTTAAAGGCCAGAAAGCTTCAGGCCTTGAGGTCCTAAAGGCTTGAGGCCCTGAGGGCGGTTCCCACCAATTTGTTTGGGGGGGTCGCCGCCACGCGCTTATAGAGGGTCCCAAATTTGTTTGGGGGGGGGGCAGGGGGGGGGCGGGGCCCCCCATACTAAAGACAGTGCAACATTAGTCTTCTTGTCTGCCTTGACCCCCTTTGTCGTCTCCCATCTTGTCTCTCTCCAAACATCTCTGGACGCAGAAGCAAATCCCCCCAAGACTCAATAACGCAGTTTATCGTAGTAAGGGTTCTAAGCTTGTCTAGGAGAAGTCAAGTGGATGGGCCTCCTGGGATGTTGGCGCGCGTTGTCTTCCTGGATGTTTCCATTTGTCTCATTTGTCTCCTTTTGACTCGCCTCTTGAAGTCTTGCCTCCCTTTAGAACCAAAGCCGGGGTTGATGAACACACCCTATTCGCCCTATTCTTGTCGTTGGCTCCCGTTCAACAGCCCGAGGGGTGGACGTCCCTTTCTTGTCTCCCCTCTTCGTCTCGTGGCCCTTTTCCCTGCTTTTGGAGTCCGAGCCAGATCGGTGGAAGTGTTATGTCTCCTCTTCTCTGCCTTCTTGTTTCAACTTAGGAACCAGAGCTTCCCTTCTTATCTCCATCCTCCCCTCTTGTCTCTGTGTTGGAACTCAGAGCTGTCCCTTCTTGTTTCCCTTTCTGGGCCAGAGCCGGCTCCTGGTCTCCCGTTTGGAACCCGAACCGAATCGGTGGCACCGCCTGCACCATATTGTTTCCCTTGCGCTATTTCGCGTCGCTCGTTGAAACCCGGGCAAGTTCGTATGTGCGCTTGGCGCCTCGCATTTTTTCAAGCGGAAAACCCCAACCTGTTTCACCAGACGAACTCTCGGGCGACGCGCGCACACACACGCAGACACACCCTCAAGCTGGTGGTCGTGTGGTACAGAGGTGCGTGTGTAAGTTGAGCTTTCATTTAAAGGGTCTACACGGTGACACTTCAAAGGCTTGATGAGCAGTCCCCTTCCGAATACATCCACGCCCGCAAGCCTCCCAGTCTGCGGGCTTGTAGACGACACACATCCCTTTCACGGTGAGTGCCTGGCGCTTCGGGCTCGACAGGCTGTTGAGACTCTGATTCGCCCTTCGAGCCACTTGTTCTGCCTCGGACACACCGATTAAGTTCAAAGACGAACAGGATCTCAGGGATGCTGCCCATCAAGAAGGGTAGCGTGCGGCTTTGTGAGCGAGCATGCAATACTCCTCGTTCGACTTATACAGCTGCGTTGACAGCTCTATCGTCCTAGTGAAACAAACACGCACAGGAAGCTTCAGGACTACGTGATAATGTTTGTCCAAAAGTCAACCTTGACTTACGCTTGGGCATTCAGATGACCCCGGATGACCCTGGCCTGTCGTGGCTGCCGGTCTCCCTCGCGCTCTGGGAGAGGAAAAGGTCGTGGGGTGGGGCCGGCGGGCCCCCGCGCGTCCAGGGCAGCAGACAGGGAAAGGAGCACCTGCTTGTTTCCAAGGTGCAGGGTTCAAGTGACTCAAGTGTCGATCCCTACGTTGCGGCGTCTTGCTGCTTCCATTATGGCGACTTCTGGAACCGGATGGCTTGGGCTTCAGGATCTTATACTTGAATCCATGGAGGGGGTCTTAGTGGCATGTCTTCAGGTTCTCCCCCTTTCGTACAAGTGCCACCGGTCTCCGCAAGCCAAAATTTTGCTTTTTAAACGGCTCCGCTGAGCAAAGTTGGATTTGGCGATGCCCAAGCCCGCTGAATCAGGACCCAACATATGAGATGTCCCCAGACAATTGCCAAGGCAGATTCTGTGCAATGGCATGGGAATGCCACGCGAACACGGGAGATTCAATGAGGCTGCTCGAGGTCTGGGGCTAGGCATGTCTGGATGCAGATGAATCAGCAGCATACTCACCCATCGCACTGACGGCGTCAGCTTCGGTGCCAAAACACAGGTTTTAATTTGGGATCTTCATCCAGATAGTCTATCAGAAGCCAATGTGCATGTCACCACTACGATGCATTTTTTGATGTGTGGAAGAGCTGTCTTGTAGAACCGCAATGCAGTTTCAGCCGCCAGCATCTGAAAGAAAGTTGCTATGCAGCCCTTCCCAGCCTGTCGAAGGTGGAGCCGTACCTGCTTCTACAGCTTGCAACGACCACGCGAACAGGCAGTCTTCGTCTTCAGATCAACTTTAAGGGTTGTCATGCAAAGGGGTTCCTAAGCCGTTTGGGCCCTGACCGATGTCACTGTTGTGACTGTGAGATCGCGAATGCCGTTAGAATGGAAAAGGTCACCCCAGTTGCGTGTTGCCTTCGGCTGGCCTCGTCTTCCAAGAGGTCCGTAAAGGCCATGGCCCAGGCGACAGAAAGGATGAAAGTACATCTGGCCACCAGCTCGGAGCGGTCAGGCGGATGCCTGACTTTCACTAGGCAACTAGGAGTGCAGTGAACAGCTGAAGGGTACAAAAGATGAAGGACTACGACGATTGAAAAAGCATTCAGGCATCATGTTCAGGTTATAGTTTCCGAGCTGCAAGTGATCCATCCAGGTAAGCCGCCGGAGTGCTGTGGAGGATGCCAGAGCGAGCAGAGGCTTCTGAGCTTTGTCCGGCACTGCCGGATCCCAGGCGGTGTTCGCAAGGTTCTGAGTGCTGAGCTGGGTCAATCTCGGAGCTACGGCGCACGGCAGTGATGCTGACAACGAGCCTGCACGCCGGAAGCGGACTGGTGAAGCAGCACTCGGGTCTAGAACTTCTTGGTGTGGGACTTTCTGATGATTCATTGAGAGAAAAGGACATGAACTCAACTGAAGACTGTACCAAGGTCAAGTCCGAAGACGGTGAAACAACAACTGCAGGCGCGACTCCAAGTATATGTCATGGTCGACGAACCACGCGAGGAGTACTTAACTGCTCAGAGAATCAATGGTCAATCAGTTCATCGAGCCGTGAAGCATCAATAGTTGTAGATGATATTGTACATTCTGAATTAGAATTAGCTATATAGACATTATAGATTTAGATCGCAGTATATGTAAACAAGTAAGAAGTTACACCTTTTCACGGCTGCACCGCCACCAGTACAACTGCAGCTACATACCGCTGGCATTCCCCAAGCCGGGCCTTCAGCTGTGAGCGAGGCTGTGCTCCCTCGCACCAGATTGGCAGGGCCTTGTGCCTCGAGCTCTGAAAGCCGCGTGGCAGAGCGTTTCCCAGTGGCCCCCGTCGAGGCCTCGCCGTTAAAGCTGCAAATGGCCGAATTCCGCGCGCTGTTCGCCAGAGCTTGGGGGCTGAGCTCTGAAAGCTGACGCAGTGCTTGTTGCGTGGTCGCCTGCATCGACAGCGAGCTTGACGGTGACAGTGATGTAGGGCTCTGAGCTATAGTTGACAGCTGCTGGGGCCTACTTTGTGGAATCCGCAGTGTGCACTTTTCTGCAGTGTCCCGCATCAATTCGGTATCCAGGAGCTCTGGCACTGCGTGGCACTATGCCAGATTTGAGAGGTGCTGGGGATGCAGCTCTCTGGAGATGTGACTGGCATGCGCTGACGCTGTTGCTGAGGGTGGACGGCCTTGAAACATCAAGGAGGCAGACTTCCACACTGTGTTGGCAGCTTCTTGCGGACCAAGCTCTAACATCCTTCCCTGCCCAAAAGCGGGAAGAGCTTGCAGTATCACTCTGCCCATAGCACCCAGCTTTGCAGGGCCCTAGGCAAGGTTCGCCAGGCCTTGCAGGGAAAGCGTACACAGCTCCAAATGCCCAACGTCTGCTGCAGCCTGCGTTGGGAGCACGCCCAGCCACTCTAAAGCTGCCATCGTCCGTGCTGCATTTGCTGGCTCTTGCTGGCCAGGGTCTTGGATGATGTGCAGGCTGTGGGAGGAGGCAAGAGCCATAAATTCTTCGCGCTTCTGAAGGGGAGTCCCTGGCTACTGCACTGTGTTGCTGGCATTCTGGGGCGCAGGTTCTTCCATCTTTACAAGCATTGCCTTGATCGTTGCTGAGACAAGAAGGTCATCTCGAGTCATCACCGTCCCAGGCGGCCACACAATGTTGCTCAGTTGCTGCGGTGAAGGCTTGAATGCCAACAGCAAGGAGCGCCGCGCGATGGCGTGAGACGATGCTTCCTCCACCCATCCGATTTTGCCAGATGCCCAGCTGATGTTTGCGGGACTCTGCGGGCCAAACTCTTCCATCACAGCTTCTGATGCTGCAGGGGTCATCTGCAGAAACAGAGCGCTGAAGAGCTGCATCTTTCCGAGTGGCTGGGCGGTGATGGCAGTCGCCTGCGCCCGACAGCAACTTTCATGCTCCAATATTGCCAACATGCCGACACATCTTGCTGGTTTCAGTAGCTAATTCGGTCGCAACGGGTGGGAATTGTCTGCTGAGCCTGTGGGTCCACCTCCTAGATTTGTGCCATCAGCATGTTCGCTGCAGCATCCAGGGGCGGCAGGTCCAGCATGCGGCAGTTGGCAAAGCTCTACCTCGCACATTGCACATCGAGCCTATCTTTTCCAGCCAGAAACTGCACAATTGGCTCAATCCGAACCCAGATTGAGCAAGGCTTTCTCATTTGCCTGCTGTCGAGATATTTTCGGCCTGGAAGCCTCGCAAACAATCCGTTTGAAAACAGCCCTCCTTGAGCTGTAGCCCTACAACCCATCATCGTCAATCTTGTGCTTTGAACTGTACACTGTCTGAAACCTTATAGATACCACCTACAACAGCTCAGATGCGGTCAGGCAGCGCCAAGTTGCCGACGTCCTGGCTGCGCAAGCCCGGAGTCAGCACCTGTCCCAAGCTTGTTCCGGCGGGGCCGCCAGGCTCATTGATTTAGATGCTTGAGGAATGCTGCCCTCTTCTGCCATGGTCGGTTCGCCGTGCCAATGGCTTTGCTGTGGCAAGGGCTCTGCGGACACCACTTCTGGCACCACTTCTCTGGCAGAAGTAACAAAGCTTGGTTCAGGAAGGGTCTTGGGATTTTGATGTTACGCGCATGCTGCAGTCTAGGTTCTGACTTTCTGCAGCAAGATTGGATTCATTTGGCAAGAAGTGACCTTTCCAACGAAAGGTTTCGGCGCCTGGGCGGCGATCCTTCTCGCAAAATTCTGTGATCCTGCGAATCCTGACTCTCATATAGTGCATTGACCTGTTCGGCTCCGGCATGCTCCCGTACACATCGGAAAACATGCTGCTTGCAGGCTCCATTGGTGCGATGTTAGTCTCAAGACCGCAGCTGATTCCAAGACAAACCTTCCTGAATAATTAGTTCTCCTATGCGGGTTGTGGTCCAGTGAGAAGCAAAAATGACTCTAATCCCATGACTGTTTTAAGTTTTAAGGCAACGGCTTTCTTTTGCTGGCCACTTTGCACTCCAGTGCCTGGAGCGCTGGCAAGGCGGCTCTCACCGCGCCGTGCAGCAGCTGGGATTTTGCAGAGCCTCCGGCCAATCCGAATCACTTGTAGATTCACTCTTCGCTACTGGACCAGCGCATCCGCAAGCTTGACCGATCAATCCACTGTATCTTGTGAGTTCTGATCTTGAAAGCTCTGCACCCGACGGCTTCTCCGCTGTATGGCAGCGGGCAAACGGAGGGCGATTGATGATGAGTGGTTTGAGAGGATTGAGAGGGGTATCGTATGCTCATCCGCGCCTTGCACCGCGTTGGTGGAGCTCTGCGTGTCAGGCTCGGCGACGTTGTTGCAAAAGCGGGTGCGTAGGCACGTTAGCAAAGGCTCCTGACACAAGGGTTCCCCAAGCCTGTGGTTCTACCATGATTTGGCGTTGAGATCTGCAGGACTTTCCTTCTGGGATCTTCTGAGATGGAAAATTGAAACCTCCGCTTCACAACTTCAAGCCTTGCACCAACAGTGTCACCTAGACCCAAAGTTAAGATGCACCTCCTGCAGCAGGGCGCGGCTGGAGGCCCGGGCTATGTTGGCCACATGCCGTGGCAGGGCACACTCCAAAATTTGCTGCCTGGACATGAGCTCGAGACTAAGTTCAGGGTCTGCCGTGGTTCAGGTTTGGAGCTTGGATCATTTCATGCTCTCCTACCCGCCCCGAATCCCCCTTTGAACGACAACCCAGACAACCGCGCTCTTGACAATGAGTCGAAGCATGTCACACACGGCTCCACACAGCTCCTACTGTGTCCTGGTGCACCCGGCACTCCAAACACCATGCGAAGTACGCAGGAAGCTCTCACCAATGGACCTCCGCTCAGCCATGGCCGTGAAGACCTGCTGTGAGCCGGGGCAGCACGAGGATGAATGGTACCCTTTCGGAGGGGACACTAAACATCTTGTCCACCCCTTGCCACCACAAAGTTGCAGCTCTAGGTAGATAACCGGTAGAACCCCCGACCTCCTGGATCCACCGTTGCTGATGTTCCGATGTATAAATTTTGATGCGAAAAACAGTCAAAAACTGCGGCTCCCTGATTTCATGGAGGAACCTCCGAAACAAGCCACGGACGTTCACAACCTGCACATGCTAGACCGCAGTGAGCGATACATGGAAAGTTAGGTCTTTGCAGGATAGTATGCCAGTCCAGTCACCCAGTGAGCATGAGACCCGGTGATCTTGGAAGGGGCAATCATGCAGCATTCTCTCCTTGCTATTGCGACCTGCGGCATGAGAAACTCTGAGGCACTCACAGCGAAGCCACTGAAATCAAGACTCCATGCGCTAGACAGGAACCGACGCCCAGCCCTGCAACCGCCTAGTAGTCCTCCCCCCCCCACTAGCCTGCTCGCCCGAGGAGTCCATGACGGTGAGCCGCCGGGTCAGATTCGCCAGACCCTTGCGTTATCAGCTGTCCAAATCAAATCAGTGTACGGTTTTTGGTTCGGCCCTCTGCCTCTGAGCCTGGGTTGGATAGCTTTTTGTCATGGAAGAGTCCGCGCCTGCGTGTCGGAGTCCTCAGCTCTGGCGACGGCTGCGAATGCAAAGGCCCGAGTTGCACGTGGGCCTTCCAAGGCTTCAGCAGTCAAACTAGTGACCCGTTCATCCTTCGCAGGGGCAATTGCCCGGTGGCCCTCTAAGAGTTTGGCGCTTCGGGTCAAGATGTAAAATCCCACAGCCCAAGCAATAAAACAAGGGCTATTTTGGGATCCAGGAGGTCCCACACAAATCCTCGTTTCGTCTGGCGGTTTCCGCATGATAGGCTTCAACATGGCAGTTTTTGACGACTGAATTCATATGACCGGCCGGCCATGCTTGCATCTTTATGGTCAAAAAAACATTGGAAGTCTTCAGATTCCAATTCTAAGGCCCTAGCTCAGCCTGTCCATCTCATGGGTGCTGCCTTCTCAGTGCTGCTAACACTGCTTATTATGCAGAAATGCTCCCGTCACACTTTTGCGCGACAGGCCTTCAAACGCATCTCCAACCACAGCGGAACCAGTCTATCTGAATCTATCTCTACCGTCGGAATGCGTGCTACTTGGTCTTCAAACGGCAACCTAGCTGCAGCAGGTCTAAACACACGATCCTTTTCTTCGTTCTTGAATCCACACTGAGCTCTTGTCCCACAAACCCGACTCTTTTGCAACAAGCAGACCAGAAGCTACCACCAACCACCCCTCCTAGACGTCATGAACTCAAGACTTATATCAGGAGCTCTCACTTGCTTCGCCCAATTGCTCGAAGCATGTACTTGCCAGGCCAGGCCTCTCTCAAGAATCTTGGCGGAGGCCCAAACAGTAGTGGCCAATTTCTTGGCCTTGCACCCAATGCTGCGAATAACGTGTAAGGCTAAGGAGAAAGCTAGCACAAACTGCGAACAATCATGCGTAGTGGCGTGGGGGTTCTGACTTTCTGTTGAAACGCGGATGGGTCTGAATCCGTTGACAAAGACATGCCAGGCATTCAGGTATCACTCATTCACGAAAAGTCCACAGTGGCTATGGTCACAGTTTCGGCTTCGGGTTCAAAAGGTATGTTTTTTGCCACCCGCCTAGCTGACCCCTCTGAGATCACTCCGCAGGGAACAATCGTGGTCTCTCGTACAGGGCCTAGGTTTCCAGGATGCTCCGTTGGGTCGTTGACGAGCTAAAGATTGTTGCAGCGCCAACAGGCTCTGCAGCATCCGGCTCAACGGAGCTCTTTTGCGCATGAGCAGTAATTACCATGTACCCCTGAAATGAAGGCAACCCCCGGTGGTGCTTGCGCCAATGCATCTCTGCCGGGGTGCTGAGGGCCATATACCAAATATACTTAAAGCTGCATTGCCAGCAGTGTGCTACCAGTATTTAATGCGCTTTTCCTGTTATTCTTTTTTCTGTCGTGGCCGTGACGGGCTTGGGCCTGAGAGTGCACTGCTGCAGATCTACTTTCAGACAGGCAAAGATGTGCTAAACCCCGTTCCCTCAAGTCGTACCACGTATTGGCCAAGTTGCGTGAAACCCGGCCGATCTCCTGGAAGCGACAGAACCTGGAGCCTTC